TCAGGATGTTTATAATGCCCCGTGGAATTCGGAACTTCCCTGAATCAAACTCCCCCAGGTCAAAACGGGCTTGAATGTCCTCAGGACAAGATAGAGGGTCAGCCAAGACCGGTTTGGCTCAATGGATAGAGCGTCGGCTTGGGGACTGAAGGGACCCGGGTTCGATTCCGGTCAAGGGCATGTACCTTGGTTGCGGGCATATCCCCAGTAGGGGGTGTGCAAGAGGCAGCTGATCAATGACTCTCTCTCATCGATGTTTCTAGCTTTCTATCTCTCTCCCTTCCTCTCTGTACAAAATCAATAAAATATATTAAAAAAAAAAAAAAAAAAAAAAGATAGAGGGTCAGAGGAAGTCTGGGGTTCAGGATCTTTGTGGTCCAAGTGTCCTCAGGGTCACATGTGGGCTTGGGCCACAGGTGCAGCGCGAGGCCCTATTCATGAAGAGTGAGCGGCACGCAGCGGAGGCCCAGCTGGCCACGGCAGAGCAGCAGCTGCGTGGGCTACGCACGGAGGCCGAGAAGGCGCGCCAGGCCCAGAGCCGCGCCCAGGAGGCCCTGGATAGGGCCAAAGAGAAGGACAAGAAGGTGGGTCTCCTGTTCCTCTACTCAGTTGAAGGTCCTCACTTCACAGAGATTGGGGGAATCTAAGAATGTCCCAGCTGAGCCGAAACCTGTTTGGCTCAGTGGTAGAGCGTCGGTCTGTGGACTGAAAGGTCCCAGGTTCGATTCCGGTCAGGGGCATGTACCTTGGTTGCGGGCATATCCCCAGTAGGGGGTGTGCAAGAGGCAGCTGATTGATGACTCTCTCTCATCGATGTTTCTAGCTCTCTATCTCTCTCCCTTCCTCTCTGTAAAAAATCAATTAAAAAAATAAATAAAGAAAGAAAGAAAGAAAGAAAGAAAGAATGTCCCAGCTGAAAGGGTTCTGGGAAATGAGCCCATCCTCCAGAAAGGAGGCTGAGACAGAGAAGGAAGGGGACAACTCAGACACACAGGCTACTGTTCCAATTACCAGTTACTACAACAGTAACCTTTATTGGGTGCTTATTGCATGTCGGGGCCTGTGCTGTGCATTCAATGTGGATCAATGCATTTATTAGTTTTTAAAATATTTTATTAATTTCAGAGAGGAAGGAAGAGGGAGAGAGAGATAGAAACATCAATGATGAGAGAGAATCATTGATTGGCTGCCTCCTGCACACCCCCTACTGGGGGATCAAGCCCACAACCCAGGCATGTGCCCTTGGCCGGAATCGAACCCGGGACCCCTCAGTCCATAGGCCAACACTCTATCCACTGAGCCAAACCAGCCAGGGCTGGATCAATGCATTTAATCCTCACATTAAGTTCCAATAAGATTGCTCTTTTTATTATCCCATTTGAGGAAGCTGAGGCACAGGGATGAAGCCACTTGCCCAGGGTCACACAGCTATGCAATGGTTCTTCCAGGCTCAAACCCAAGTCCCCAAGTTCTTCTCTTAAATAGTAAGAATAACGATAACTGAGGCCTCTGGCTGTTACTCAGCTGATTTTCACATGTCACTTTTAATCTCACAACTAAGAGCCAGAAAGCATTTTTCCCTTCATCTTCCAGATGAGCAAACTGAGGCTCTAAGAGGCAAAGAGAATGGCTCACAGTGACACAGCATGTCACTGGATAGTGAATGTGACCCTCAGAGCCCAAAGGCTTTAGTGCAAAGAGTCATCCAGATACGACTTGCTGTGTGACCTTGGATAAGTCCCTTGACCTCTCTGAGCCCAAGATTTCACATCTGTAAAATGAAGATAAAGTTGTGGTAGAGATTATGCTTTATTTGTATCAGAGTTTCTCTTTCTCAGCATGAAAGTGCAAGTCATGCTAGTGGCATGCAGGGCAGGTCACTCTATGTGGGGGGTGTCTTGGACACTGTGGGCTGTTGAGCAGCATCCCTGGTCGCACCCACTTGATGCCAGGAGCACCCGGACATTTCCATTGCAGGAGAGGCCCTCGGTGTCCTCTCGGGGCAGCATGGCCTCTGAAGAGAGCCTCTTCTCCGTAGGAATAACAATGGAGTTTGGCATTATCGAGTGGCTGCTCTTTGCCCGCAGTTTACACTTAGTCACTGTTCACAATCAGTTAGCTGGTGGGAACCATGGTTCTCTGTCCAGGGGGGGAAACTGGGCTCAGAGGGGTGAGTCATCTTCCCAAGATCTCCTTTGAGAAAGGGACAGAGAGGGGCCCAGCCCAGGGCTGCCTGACAGCCACACCGCTTCCCGCCCCTGTCCCACCAGCTTCCCCTCCCAGACTCCCACAGGGGATGTGACAGGATCCGCAGACGTTTACTGTAAAGGGCCCGATAGGCAGTGTTTCTGGCTCAGGTCTGCCATTGCAGAAGCAGCCAGAGGCGACCTCATACGAATGGGCGTGGCTGTGCATCCATACAAATTTGTGTATGAACATGGGAGTGTGAATTCTATCTAATTTTCACGGGTCACAAAAGAGCATTCTCTTTTTGACTTTTAATCCCCCAGGCGTTTAAAACTCTGGAAACCATTCTTAGCCTGAGGGCCAGAGTTTGCTAGCCTCTAGGATGTGGCCTTCCCTCGCAAGCCTGTCCCACCTCTCTTACCCCTGCTGCCCCCAGCCCCGAGCTCAGGGTCACCAGGGTGACCCCTGACCCCTCCCACCCCCATCCCTCCCCAGATCACTGAGCTCTCCAAGGAGGTCTTCAGTCTGAAGGAGGCGCTGAAGGACCAGCCAGCAGTCCCCGGCAGCTGCGAGGTGGAGGCCCTGCGCGGCCAGGTGGAGGCCCTGCAGGGGCAGCTGGAGGTGAGAGCCCACTGGGCACACAGACACCCGGGAGAGGCCTGGGGGCACCCAGGAGCCTGGGGTACATGTGCCAGGCCTGGGAGGAAATGTTGCAATATTTTGTCAACTGGCACTGTCTTCCTGGGCCATGCCATCAACACGGGAGCTCAGGGTACGAAGGGGGCACTTGGCACCTCGGGGGCTGTCTTGCTTTTCTGAGCGCCCCTCCGCCCCGTCCGCAGGAAGCTGCCCGGGAGCACAGCGCAGTGGTGGCCCTGTACCGGAGCCACCTCCTGCACGCCATCCAGGTGAGTCCGCCGGGCTTTGGCCACCCCCCGGCTGCTCTCTGGCCCTCCGTGTCCGTCTGTACAGTGGCAGGGCGCCCAGGCTCTCCTCTGTCCCCCCACCCCAGGGCCAGATGGATGAAGATGTACAGCGGATTCTGAGCCAGATCCTGCAGATGCAGAGGCTCCAGGCTCAGGGACGCTAAGCCTCGGAACACGGGGACCCTGCTTGCTCGGACCTGCGCGGGGCGTGGTGGGGCTCACACTGACCTTCCGGGCTTGAAGATGAGCCAGGCCCCGCCCCGGCTGTCCCTGGTGTCCATGTCTCAAGCCCTGCCCGTGCCCCTGCCGTCGGAGACTCTGCGAGTTCCCTCGCTCACGTCCCGTCTTCGCCAGACACCACCCCCGGAATAAAGCTCACTGAGCCCAGGACGGCGTGTGGCCTGGTTGCTGGGCTCCCACTTCGAGCAGGGGAGAGGGTGGCCCGGGTTAGGGTGGGGAGAGGGAGGCACCCCCTCCCGCACCCAAATCTCAGTCCCCGTGACGAACGCTGTGTTACTGCAAAATTTTTAAAAGTCAAAATGGAATGGATGCCAAAAAGTTCACATGAACAAAATCTCCGAGTTAAGGGAAGACAGAGGCCACGCCTGCACTGACCTCACTTTCCTTACCCTTCGCCCAGCCCCTGGGAGGGAGAAACCCCCCCTGAAACTTCCCTGAAATCCCCTGGTGGTTCTCGGCCCTTCCCAGCTCAGGGAGCGGAGGTGACTAAGACTGTGACCCCCAGGTCCAGCCTGCCCCGGGGGTTTCCTTGCTCCCGGACAGGCACCGTGTCCAGTAGGGCTTCAGCGGCCGGGCACCCCCCTGGCCAGGAGAATGTCCGTGGGGAGGGGCTGCCCCAGGCCTGTCTGTCTGTCTCTGGCCTGGGGGGTGGAGTGTGGCCGGTGAGGGTGGGGACCCAGTCCCTGTGGTCCATGCGTGAAAGGGCATCTCCTGTGGAGATGCTGGCTCTCTCATGTCCCTGCCTTTTTTTTCCCTAGACCTTTGTGTGTCAATCTCTCCGTCTCCTGAGCCTTTCTCTCTTCCTCTATCTCTTTTATCTCTCCCTATCTCCATCTCTGTCTCTTTTATCTCTCCCTATCTCCATCTCTGTCTCTCTTGTCTCTGCCTAGCTCCTTTCTCTCTCCCTGTCTCTATTTCTCTGTCTCCTCTCTTATCTGTATGTGTCTATCTCCATCTCTGTCTCTCCTCTGAGTCCCCCTCCCCTCCCCTCCTCTCCTCTGAGTCTCTCACCCCTTCTCTCCTCTGAGTCTCCCATCCCCTCTCTCCTGTGAGTCTCCCCTCCCCTCTCCTCCCCTCCCCTCTCCTCCCCTCTCCTCCTCTCTCCTCTCCTCTCCTCTCCTCTCCTCTCCTCTCCTCTCCTCTCCTCTCCTCTCCTCTCCTCTCCTCTCCTCTCCTCTCCTCTCCTCTCCTCTCCTCTCCTCTCCTCTCCTCCCCTCTCCTTTCAGTCTCCTCTCCTCTCAGTCTCCTACCCCCTCTCTCCTCTCAGTCTCCCCCTCTCTTCTCTCCTCTCAGTCTCCCTCCTGCCTCTGTCTCGGTCTTTCTCCATGCGAACTCCCCCTCTGGGGTTTCCCCAGCCCCTCCTCACTGCAGCCGGAAGGAAGGACTGACTGTGCTGGGAAAGGCCACGGGGTCTCCACTTCTCCCTTTTGTGGCCTCTTCCCCTGCCCCCACCCTCAGAGCCTTCCGCACCCTGGTCCCAGGGTGGCCAGTACAGGGACCGGCGGATCTGCTGCCCCTGCTTGACTCCTCACAGCCCACAAACCTGCCCGCGCGTCCAACCCAGAGAAAGGGAGGGGGCCTTGGCAGGTCCGAGCGCCTGCTCCCCAAGGTGCCCGAGCCCCAGCTTCTGCCAGGAGCCCAGGAGCCATGGCCCCACGACTGCTCCTGGCCCTTGTCCTCTGGGCCGGCTGCTTGCCCTGTAGTGGGAGTGAAGGTATGTAGGGCCCCCGGAGGGGTGGGGGACCAGGGCCAGTCTGAGGACTGGACTTCGCTGTGGAACATTCTGGAGTGGGGTGAGAGGGGATTACCATCACATTCCACAGATGGGAAAGTGAGGCATGGAGATGAATCCTACTCCAAGGTGACACCAGGTCCTGGCAACCACAGCCAGGAGGGAGGAGGGATGGAGGGGGGGAGGGGGGTGAGAGAGAGAGAGAGAGAGAGAGAGAAAGGGGTGGGGGTTAACTGCATGCATTCATTTCATGTGCTTCAAAACAAAACTGTAGCCCTGGCCAGTTTATCTCAGTGGGTAGAGCATCGGCCTTCGGGCTGAAGGTCCCAGGTTGGATTCCAGTTAAGGGGCACGTACCTCGTACCTCGGTTGCAAGCTCAATCCCTGGCCCTGGTTGGGGCATATTGGGGAGGCAGCCAATTGATGTGTCTCTCTCACATCGGTGCTTCTCTCTCTGTCTCCCTCCCTTCCACTCTCTCTATAAATATATATATATATATATATATATATATATATATATATATATATATATATATCCTCCGGTGAAGATTAACAAAACCAAGGATCTGTAACAAAGAGGGGACACAGCAAAATATCTCCCTCCCATCAGGTTCTCCACTCCTGAGGCTCCTCTGTGGCTTGTTAACCCTGGAAAATGAGCCAATAGTCCTGCCTTTGCAGGTTGTAGGGGCAAGAGATGACTTCGGTGTCTTTCATTCATGGACTCATCCCACCAGCCTTTGTTAGTGCTCCAGGGAGGCGGGATGAACAGGGTGGGGTGCTGGGGAGGGGGGTGGTGTGTGTTCACAACCCTGGCGTCTCAGAGCTGGAGAGAATCAGAATCTTACTGTTTCAGGTTCCAGCCTGTGACCGTAGACCTCTCAGACTGTGGGAATTCTAAGGCTGGAATGCTGACATTCCAGAAACCTATAGAATCTGGGACCTGCGCATCTAGGGTGGCTTTCACCCCAAACCCTGAGTACGTGTGGGGAGGTTTGAAAGCTCACGCTCCTCCCTCCTCCCTCACCCCTGCAGCCCCCACCCAGTCCAGGGTGTGGTGCCGGGCCTTTAGGTACCCGATTGCCGTAGATTGCTTCTGGACCCTGCCGCCTGCTGCAGACTCCGCCAGGCCCGCGTCCGTCATTGCCACGTACAGGTCAGAGCGCCACAGCCCGGCCTGCAGGCAGCGCTGGCCTGGAACCCTGCATGCTGGGGCAGCGCGGCCTGCACAGCTGTGCCTCCTACAATCATAGTTCACGCCAGGGGTGTCGTTTAAAATGTTCTAGAAGCCACATTTAAAAAGTAAGAGGAAATGGGTGGAATTAATTTTAATATTTTATGTAAATAATATCTATATTTCCAAATACGTCTCATTTAATGATTGAGCATAATGTAATTGGACATACTTATACACAATATATACATTCCAATTTAGAAGTTAATATAGAAATAACTGAAATATTATCGTTACTATTATTTTAAAAATTAATATTTTACATTTTTATACAAAGTCTTCAGAATTCCACATGTATTTTATGAATATGGTGCATTTCAGTTCAGATACTTTTTAAACTTTCATTAGAAATTCTTGACCTCTGATTGGATTTCCTAAAATTTGCAGATGAAGCTATAAATTCATGCACCCAGCTTGTTCCAAACAACTTTCCCAAGTGTTCTGATAACTGGAAACATGACATAAAGTAAACCAAACTTAAAAGTCCCACTCAGTCGTGTTAGCTGTGTTTCAAGCACTTGACCCCACAGGCAGCTAGTGACTGCTGCATGGGACAAGGTAGCAATAGGACATAGTGAATGTTGTAGAAAGTGCTATGGATGGCACTCAGCTCCAGTCTCTGAAGCCTGAAATCCTGGCGTCTCAGAATCTCACCGTTTCAGATTCCAGAGTCCGTGACTCTGTAGACCTCAGAATGTTGGGATTCTAAGGCTGGAATGTTGATCTTCCAGAAACCTGTAGAATCTGGGACCCGAGCATCTGGGGTGGTTTTTACCCCAAACCCTGGGTATGTGTGGGATCCTTGATGTCAAGTGAGTGCCTCCCCCAGGGTCACAAAGACAAGAGCAGGACCCCGAACCAGGGCTCCTCATCTTCTGTCCCTACTTGGGGGGGACTGGGCACAGGCAGGGCCAGCAGGAAGTGCCGAGGCCCTCAGTGCCCACTCCATGCCCAGGCTCGGAGTGGCCGCCCACGGGGAGAGCCAGCCCTGCCTCCGGCCAACACCGGAAGCCAGCAGTTGCACCATCCCAGACGTCCACATGTTCTCCATGGTGCCCTACCTGCTGAACATCACGGCTGTCCACCCCTCGGGCAGCAGCAGCAGCAGCTTCGTGACCTTCGTCCCGGAGCACATCAGTGAGTGGGGGCCATGGCTGGGGGGTGAGGAGGGTCACTGGCTTATTTGTGCTCTTCCGCCTCTCTAGGTACCCCCCCTTCTACCCGTCACACAGTCCTGTCCTCCACTTCACAGTTAATCAGGATCCGCCCACTTCTCTCTCCTCCTGAGCCTCCCTGAGCCCGTTTCTTTCCTTTAAAAAAAAAAAAATAGATTTCAGAGAGGAAGGGAGAGGGAGAGAGAAAAACATCAAAGAGAGAATCATTGATCAGCTGCCTCTACCTACCCTCTACTGGGGATCGAGCTCAAAACCTGGGCATGTGCCCGTGATCAGAATCGAACCTGGGATCCTTCATCCACAGGCCGATGCTCTATCCATTGGGCCAAACTGGCGAGGGCCTGATCTGGCTTCTTTGCCGCCCACCTGAACTACAGTCCTCTCACCCTAGTTTCTGGCTCCCACCCTCTCCCCTCAGCAGCCACCAGAGGGCGCCGTCCCTGAATCAGCCACCAGAGGGCGCTGTGAGCACCCTAGTCAGGTCTCGCCCCTCTGCCTACAGCTCTCTAGCTCCCGCCTTCCCTGGGGTAAATGCCCAAGTCCTCTTATGACCCACAGGGCCCTGTATGACCTGCCCCAGCTCCTCCCTAGCAGTAATGGGGGTGGAGGGATGGCTGCTAATGGATGTGGATTTCTTTGGGGGGTGATGAAAATGTTCTGATTAAATAGTGGTGTTCCTACAACATCGTGAATGTACTGAAACCCACCGAACTGTACACTTTGAAAGGGTGAGTTTTGTGGTATGCGAATTATGTCTCAAAAAGTTACAACCTGCCAAAACCGGTTCGGCTCAGTGGATAGAGTGTTGGCCTGTGGACTGAAAGGTCTCGGGTTCGATTCCGATCAAGGGCATGTACCTTGGTTGCGGGCACATCCCCAGTAGGGGGTGTGCAGGAGGCAGCTGGTCGATGTTTCTCTCTCCTCGATGTTTCTAGCTCTCTATCCCTCCCCCTTCCTCTCTGTGGAAAATCAATAAAATATATTAAAAAAAAAAAAAAGTTGCAAGCCACTCTCTTCCTTGCGCTCCTGAACTTTCTCCCCTACTCCTTTTTTTTTTTTTTTTTTTCTATTAGTAATAATCACGCCCCGGATAAACCTCATTGGCTACGGTACTGCCACCATGCAAAGCTCTTCCCTACGCTTTATGATCAGTAGATTTCCTTCTGTCTCTTGCCTTCTGTCCTGTGGATTGAGCTCCAAAAGGGTTGTGTCTGTACTGATCCCTGCTGTGTCCCCAGTGTCCAGAACATCACTGGACAGTCAGGAGACCCTCGGTCCGTATTTGTTGGCTGTTTGCATGCATGCATGCATTTGCCCTCTGCTGACCCTGTCTCCTGTTTGTCTGTCAGTCAAACCAGACCCTCCAGAAGGCGTGCACCTGAGACCCCTCCACGGGCAGGGGCTGTGGGTGCAGTGGGAACCTCCCAGGTCCTGGCCCTTCCCGGAGATCTTCTCACTCAAGTACTGGATTCGCTACAAGCGTCATGGAGCTGCCCGCTTCCGCCAGGTGAGGAGGATGAGAGGCAGCTGGGGAGGATGATTCCCGGTAGAACAGCATGTGTAAACGCACCGAGGCCTCCCCTGTAGCTTGAGATTGCTTGTGGCCAGTGTGAAAAATAAAGGCAGCCTCCAGATCCACTCCTGCTCCCACGTATCTGCCCAAAGGACTTGAAATCAGGAACTCAAACAAAACCTTCATAGTACTGCTATTCACAATAACTGAAAGGCGCAACAGCTCCAATGTCCATCAGTGGGTGAATGGATTCACAAAGCAAGGTCCACCCACACAATGAGTATGACTCAGCCATGAAAGCGCCGACCCTCACTACAATGTGGATGACCCTTGAAAATATGATGCTCAGTGAGAGAAGCCAGGCACAAAAGGTGTGTGCTTCCACTGATGTGAAATGTCCAGAGCAGGCACATCCAGGAATGGAAAGTAGATTCATGGTTGTCAGGGGCTGAGGAGGAGGATGGGGAGTGACTACTGATGAAAACAGGTGTTTTTTTTTTTTTGGGGGGGGGGTGATGGAATTTTCTAGAATTAGAGGTGCTGGTTGCACAACATTGTGAATGTACTAAAGGATAGTAAATTGTCCACTTTAGAATGGTTGATTTTATGCTATATAAATTTCATCTTGATTGAAAACAACATATATTATTTTAACTTTAAAAATTTTTTTTATTGATTTTAGAGAGAGTGAGCAAGGGAGAGGGAGAGAGAAACACTGATCTGTTGCCTCCCATACATGGCCTGAAACTTAGGTATGTGCGCTAACCAGAAATGGGACCCACAACCTTTTGGTGTATGGGATGACTTTCCAACCAACCAGGGCTGTTTTAACAACAACAACTTCTTCAACAACTACTACTACTTCTTCTTCTTCTTCTTCTTCTTCTTCTTCTTCTTCTTCTTCTTCATATATTTTATTGAATTTTTACATAGAGGAAGGGAAATGAATAGAGTGTTAGAACCATCGATCAGTTGCCTCTTGCCCACCTCCCACTGGGGATGTGCCCGCAACCAAGGTATACGCCCTTGACCAGAATCCAACTTGGGACCTTTCAGTCCACAGGCCGATGCTCTATCCACTGAGCCAAACTGGCTAGGGTTGTCTTAACTTCTTAAAAAATAAAAACTAAAGGCAGTGTCCTGTGAGCATCCGCAGGTCATTGTGTCCTGGGCAGGGCCGGGTCCTGGGCTGAGGAGCGAGACTGCAGAGTGGCTTTCACACCCTGCCCCGTGGATGTGGGAGTCTTCGGTGATGGGGAATCTTCTCCATCTGCTCTCAGGACAGTGCCATGAACTATGGGTGGCTGCTGAGCCATTCCAACATGGCGAGTAGCCCAGGAACTGGCTTTTAAATTTTTAAGTCTTTGCAGTTTCAAAATTGAGATTGAACTCACATGGCAGAAAACTCACTGTTTCAAAGTGCTTAAGCCAGTGGCTTTGAGTGTGCTCATAAAGTTGTGCCACCATCAACCTAAATGTAAGACTTGCAGCACCATATAGCCTCCGCTGTGGGAAACTCAGGTAGGGCAGGGCAGGGAGCTAGGCAGACCTGGGGCTGGGCAGCTGAGCATGGGGGCTGGAACGGGACCTTCCAGAGGATTGTGGAAGATGGGAGGAGGTGAGGGCCAGGTCAGGGAGGGAGAGTGTGGAGCAGCAGGGACAGGAGAGAAAAGATGGACAGGAGAGAGAGCAGGAAAGGCGGACCTGAGTAGGTGTCTCATTCGTACCTATGGGACTTCAATCCCAGAGGTCCCTGCGTGGGGACAGGAGAGGCCAAGGCCACTGAGAGAAGAACTGATTACATTTCCTGAGAGAAGGGGACATGCCATGCCACGCAGGGCCGTTTTACAGGCAACATCAGGATGCTGGAGGCTGGAGCAGGGGGTTGGAGCAGGGGATGGAGCAGGGGGGTGGAGCAGGGGATGGAGCACGGGGGTGGAGCAGGGGATGGAGCAGGGGGGTGGAGCAGGGGGCTGGGGCAGGGGGTGGAGCAGGGGGCTGGAGCAGGGGGTGGAGCAGGGGATGGAGCAGGGGATGGAGCAGGGGGGTGGAGCAGGGGGTGGAGCAGGGGGCTGGAGCAGGGGGTGGAGCAGGGGGCTGGGGCAGGGGGTGGAGCAGGGAGCTGGGGCAGGAGGCTGGAGCTGGAGGGAGTGGTGAGCCAAGGCAGCACCCTGCTGGGGTTCCCCTGGGAAAGGAGACAGGGTGGGGTGAATGCTGGGGGCCGGCGAGGTGGGTAATCCTATGGGCTCTGGGCTGCATGGGTGATCTCAGGCTGCCGGCACCTGGCACTGGGTGACGAAGGGCAGGAGGAATACTGGCCTGTGGGGGGAAATGAGAGAAAAGGGCGGGTGGGGATTTAGACTCTGATTGTTTAGTTTGTTTGTGAAAGGCATGCTCCTTTGCCATCTCTAACAACTGGCTGACCCCAAGCAGGACAGTCTGCTCCCGGCCAGCAAGATGTTAAGATGCCAAAATATCCTAAGATACAAAGAAATTAAAAACAAAAAACAAAAAAACATGGTCAATACAGTGGGACTGGGAGGTTGGGGAGGAAGGCATTGAAGTCAGTGGTAGAAGCTCTGGTTTAGAGCCAGGAGGAGGTGCAGGGGGGGAGGGGGAGAGGTCTGGGAGTGAGGGATCTCACCACTGAGACATCCCTCGAAACTGGGCCATCCCTTGGTGTGGTCCAGGAAGGACTCCTGAACGAGTTGGCTCTGGGACCAGCAGGAAACCCACACAGGTCAGGACCACACAAGCCAAAGACTTGGGGAAGGGGGGACTGTGAGGGCGAATGGTGTAGGATGGAGCGTGAGGACTGAGGCTCAGGCACACAGGCCGCTGGACAATGGCCTTCCCAGCCTGGCCACCCACTGACACCGTCTTTCTCTCTCAGGTGGGGCCCATCGAAGCCACGTCCTTCACCCTCAGGGCTGTGCGGCCCCACGCCCGGTACTGCATCCAGGTGGCTGCCCAGGACCTCACTGACTATGGGCAGCCCAGCAACTGGAGCCTCCCTGCCACCGCCACAGCGGCTCTGGGCCAGGAGCAGGGGCTTTCCAGGCCCCTCCCCCTCCCTGCTACCTACTCCAAGGCGGATGGAACCTGACTGGCCTGGGGTCGCTGCTGCCGAGTTGCTGGGCACCATGGACAAGTGACTTTGCCTCTCTGGCACTTAATCTCCTAATCTGTGAAATGGGGGTGTGCTCTCCTCTGACTGTGAATGTGACATATCACTTATTGTTTAATGAGACATTGTTACTAGCATAGACTCTGCCTCTCTTTGTCCAGCAGACCCAGAGAGGAGTTAGAGAGGACGGAACAGAGCAGGACACACATACAGTGAGTCGCCACTCTGTGGAGAGGGTCAGGGCTGGACGAGAGGAAGACGGAGCGTGAAGAGCTGGGGTAGGAATGGAGGGGTTCTGCCTGGGATGGGATGGCGGGAGCTATTCAGTTCAGTGGTTTGATTCACCCATCGTCTCAAAAGATGTGAGCCCCAGTGTGAGTGGACACAAAGGGGATGTCAGTTTGTTTGGGAAGATTTCTCTGAGGAGGAGACAAAGCAGCCAGGCCTGGAAGTATTTTCTCAATCCATGGGTTTGTTTGTGGATCTCACTTAGGGCTCATCTCAGAGGTCACCTTCTCCAAGAAGCCTTCCCTGACCACATCATCTGTGGTAGGCAGAATAATACCTTTCCCCCAACTCTCTCTCTCTCTCTCTCTCTCTCTCTCTCTCTCTCTCTCTCTCTCTCACACACACACACACACACACACACACACACACACACACAGATAATACATCCTAACCTCCAGAATCTGTGAATATGGTACCTCACATGCCAACAGGGGCTTTGCGGGTATGATTAAATTAAGAATCATGAGAAGACTCCTTATTTAAAGTTTAACAATCTTTCACTAAGTTAATGAACATCAAGGAGAGTTATTATCCCCAAGAAAATAACCAGGATCAGGCAGGAGCCCTGGCCGGTGTGGCTCAGTTGGTTGAGCATCGTCATTCACCAAAAGGTCACTGGTTTGATTCCCAGCCTGGGTACATGCCCATTTCAGGTTTTCTCCCTAGTAGGGGGCATGCAGGAGGCAGCTCATCATTTCTCTATCTTTATGTCCCTTTATCTCTCTAAAATCAATAAAAAAACATATTTTAAAAACTTTTAAAGAGGGAGGCAGGAGAGTAGAGGGAGAGATAGACAATAATGTGATAGTAGAAATAGAAGTCAGAGTGATATGGGGCCATAAGCCAAGTATTGCAGGCAACTCTAGAAGCTGGAAGAGTCAAGAAAATGGATTCTCCCCTGGAGCCTCCAGAAGGATCCAGGACTGCCCTCCATATCAGACTTCTGACCTCCAGGACTCTAAGATACTAGCTGTGTGGTAAGACACGGAGCTGGTGGTATTCTGTTACAACAGCCGTAGGAAACTCATACACCACTTTCCATGGTTAGCCTGTTCTGTCTTCAGACCATTTACCAAGCCAGAAAAGGTCCTTTTGTGTATTTATTGTCCATCTGTCCCACAGCGATCCCTGCGAGGACAGGCATCTTCTGCCATGTTCTCTGATGTGTTCCTAGAGGCTGAGCACGTATCTGACACAAACATCTAGCCCTAGCCGGTTTGGCACAGCAGCTAGAGCGTCAGCCCGTAGACTGTAGGGTCCAAGGTTGGATTCTGAACAAGGCCATGTGCCTCAGTTGCAGGGTCACTCTGTGGCCTATGTGGAAGGAAACTAATCTGTGTGTGTCTCACATCTATGTTTCCCTCTCTCTGTCTCTCCCCCTTCTTTCCACTCTCTCTAAACATCAATGGAAAAAGATCCTTAGGTGAGGATTAACAAAAAAAATAAATAAATAAATAAATAGTACAAACATTTATCGAAGGAAGGGAGGCCTGGCTGGTGATCTAAGTGGTTAGTGCACCCTCTCACACACAGAAGGGTGGAGGTTCTGTTCCAGATCAAGGGCAGGTACCTGGGTTGCTGTTTCCGTCCCCAGTGGGGGCGCCTGCGAGAGGCAACCAACTAATATTTGTGTCTCAATTTATATTTCTCTCTCTTCCTCCCTCTCTCCTTTCTACTCTCCAAAATCAATGGGAAATATCCTCGGATGAGGATAACAAACAAAAATAAATAAAAAGGAAGGAAGGAGACTGGAGAAAGAATTGAGTGGGATTTCCTCTTTAAAAGGACATTTGGGCCCTCGCCAGTTTGGCTTAGTGGGTATTGTTGGTCTGCGGACCGAAGGGTCCCAGGTTCATTCCGGTCAGGGTTCAGGGCATGTACCTAGGATGCAGGCTCCTCCCCAGCTGGGGCCCTGGTCCGCACGTGCAGGAGGCAACCAACTGATGAGCATTGATATTTCTTTCTGTCTGTTCTCTCTCTAAATCAATGAGAAAATATCCTTGTGTGCGGATTTAAAAAGAAGAATTTTAAAAAAGGACATTTGGTTATGGGGGTACATTTGGTATAGTGTGTGTATAGGGGAAGGTGGGTTTGCAGCCTGTGGCTCAGGATAAACGGGGGGTGTGGCACGTGGAAACAGACCACAGCCCACACGTGAACCCTGAGGACACAGGGACGATGTGTGGTTCCCAGAGGCCAGCACACAGGTTTAACGCCCAACACTGAACATTTTATTTGCTGAATAAAAGAATGAACAACAGGGAGTGTCGCGAATAAATTTTCACAAGCCGCTGCTGACCTCTAGGACTCAGCATCTCCTGGGAACGCCACAGCCAGATGCCCCAGAACCTTTGTTGGGAGCTATCACAGTTGCAACCCGGGAGGGAAAACGGCCGGGTTACGATGTTAACAGGCGGGAGTCCCAGCCAATGACAAAAGCAGGCTGTGTGGCTGCAGCCAATACTGGAGGCTGGAGCAACGGTGTCGGAAGTGCAAGGGACGGCGGGGAGGTCCAGTGAACAGCAACCCTAGCTGTTTCCTGGTACGTGTGAGAGGAGTGGGGGACAAAGATATCGGAGCGAAAAGTTTTAGAAGTAAGTGTTGGATGTCTTGGGCTCTATACCCAGGTCGGCAATATGATATATCGGAACTCCGGCCGAGGTGACCCTCTCTCATTGGAACCTTGTTTTCTAGCCTAACGGCCTCCAATCACCTTCCGCGAGAGGTGGGCTTTCGCGAAACTTTTCCCGGGGTTTACCCAATCACAGGCGGGGGGCTGGAGGAGGGTGGGGGAAAGAGCGGAGCTTGGAATATTTGCCCAATCACTTCCCATTATTGGGTTTTCGAAAGAAATTATCCAATCACCTCCCTTGGGGGCGGGGCTTCTTTAAAAGCTTGTTCCCTCACTTTTTTTCACCGTCGGGGGCGGGACTCTGATAAGCCCCGCCCCTCTTGGATCTTAGCCTATTGCGTTCCTGGAAAGGGTTAAGCTTTGCTAAATAAACTCTTTGTCTTCAGGGGCCCCTCAACTTCTCTTCGCAAGTCTGTTGGGGTAAAACCAGTACTAACCAGCACTCTTGGGTGGAGAGGGTCTTGCAAGGCGGGATTCGGCCTGTGGAAGAGAGACTCTGGAATTCTGAGTGCCTGCCCTCAGCCCACAGGAGCATGTGTGCTCCCTGAAGGGAATGGGCTCTCAGACCTGCGAGTAAGTCCAAGATGTCAGGATCGACAGCCTGGAGCCTCGGTTTGAAGTTGATGTTCTTTCCTGTGACTCAGTGCCTTCATCTTTTAAACACCTATGTTAGGAACCCAGCCCAGCCTTTTCACATTCCAGTGCAGTGTCCGTGAAAGCCCTTTCACCCTGAACATCCAACTGGGGGCCATCTATTTCTATAATTTACCATTAGATACTTGCGCGCCATGCTGATCATATCCTCACAAGTGGACGGGTTATATCCATTCAGATGAGGAAACGGAGGCCCAGAGAGGACATGCTATGGCTAGAGAGTGGGAGAGTCAGACCCAGGCTCCTGGCTCTGTGACCCATGCTCCTAATTGCTGTACTATCCTGTCTCCCCCAGAGTCGGGTCCCCAGGTCTGAATCCTGGCTCTGCAGTTCATGCTCCATGACTGAGTTTCCTCTGTGAAAAGGATGCTTCACTCTCTGTCTCACGGAGACTTTGAAAGCCGTAAAAAGTGTTCTGTGTGGTGCCCGGCACCCAGTAGGTGCTCAGAAACACAAAGTGCTTTGTTTTCTGATTATCTGATGTATTTTTCATAATCCAAACCCACTTTCCCTAGGTCTCCCATTTCAGGCTCCTGTGCAGGAAGTTTGAATTCAGCAAGTCTGAGGCCGCTGTCCTTAGAAAGGCCAGGTTGGCTGGCATCTGGGAACTTGAATTTCAGGATGGTTTCCACTGTCCCTGATAAGAGTGGTTCCCTGGGCTTACACTGTTTGCACAAACAGTTTCGCTGAGCACCTGCTCTCCTCCTGGAGTCTGGAATCTTGGTCCGTGCGGGGCAGAGTGCCTGCATGACCAGTCCCCACTGAGAACTCTGGGTGCTGGGTCTCCGCTGAGCTTCTCCAGGAGACTCTTCACACCTGTGGTGACTACTCCTTGCTGGGGGAATTGAGCACGTCCCGTGTGACTCCACTGGGAGAAGGCTCTGGAAGTTTGCCTGATCTTCCTGAACCTGTCCCCCGTGCCTTTTCCCTTTCCTGACTTTCCTCTGTAACTTTTTGCTGTGATAGATAGTAGCCATGTGTATGGCCATATGCTGAACACCAGCAGTTCTCCTATGAAATCATTGATCCCAGCAGTGGTCTTGGGGACCCTGGCACGGCTCCCCAAAGACCAGCAGGCAGTACATGGTGCGATTGATGGTTCCCTTCAACATGAGGTCAGTGCCCCCACAGGGCCCCCCACAGCAGTTGTGGCAGACAGATCCGATGTCTGGAGCCCAGGGAGTGGCTCATCCCTGCCGATCAGACCAGGCCCCCAAGTCCTGGTTCAGACATCGTCACAGTGAGAAAGTGATGGCTCCGAGCCCCGCTTTCCCCATTCAGGATTAATCTCCCTGCCCTCCTACAGCTCCCAGCCCGTGCCTGCCTCGAGACCTTGATCTGTGATAGTGAAAGTGTGAGCACAGAGATGGGGCCCTGTACTTGCATTCCCTTCCACCAGCAGCCA